CTTTCCTTTCCACTAAACTTGCAACCGAATCGACGTCGTTCACAATGCTAAATCCATAGCGCTAAGAAAAATGTTAAACTGTTTCCGGAGCTAATTTACACCAGCCTTCATTGGACCGATGAGAAACATGTTATTCTATTTCCTTTGATGCACCCATTAGAATGAGCTTCGGACACGTCACTAGCCTACAAAAAAGAATGTATGTAATGCCGTTTGCCCGAACATTGTAGAAACTACTCAATGTATGCTCTTATGATTATGATCGACCAAGATGTATGAAGAAGGCTTCATCGGCGTAAATGATATATCGCTTCGAACTCTGTACCTTATCCATTAGACGTCCGCCGAAGGGCTGCACCGACTCAGCGTTCTCATGAAACTGCTTAAGTTGAATGCCAATGTTGACGCATCAGCGACTATTGGCGATTAACGCCACCACTGCAGAGCCACACCGTTACGCTTGTGATGAGAGGTACCACAATTGGTGGTATCGTGCACAGGTCAATGTGTTCGAAGATACCAGACAATAAACCTGGAATGCCACCTGGTCCTACTATGTGCGTCAATCCACATGCTCTCACAGGTGTGGTTAGACCGTAGAGCTGTTGTTTACAGATTCTCGTTGTCCGAGTGCCCTGAAAACTCGAGGCTGAACTTCGGTGGGTAGATTCTGTGCTTTGTACGATCGCACGTATTAAAAAACACGTTAATCACGTCATTTTGTCATGAGCTTCTTTGGGCACACTTTGTCTACTGAAAGCATACAATGTGAGCCGTGTCTCATGTGACAGCTGTGAAGTCCGACAATCCATTATGGTTACGGAAACGTGCAAACAAGTGTTCCGAGAAGCACGTCTTCTTGAAAAATATTTCGTCCTGTAAATGCGACCTGCCGAAAAGCACCGTATAGCTGCTTCGTCTTTATTGGGAATCATCAGCACTGCGCATCTCACGAAACTCCAGGGAGTCTCGAACCCGTGAAATCCATGCTAGTAGTGTCACCAATTACCTATCCGACCACAAACGGCTGATCAGTAGTGTGATTAACTTCCACACAGATAAGATGTATCGCCAATCATTTTTCAATCACGTTATATGAGTCCTGTGGCTGAAGGATGGATGGCTCGGTATTTCGTCTAAGAGCGAGTTTATCACACTGCTGATCAGCCACTGATCACCGAACGTTGTCCAGACTGCTAGGTGCGATGTTGCGGATTCGGAACTCTCTGGTGTTTCCTGAGACGCGCAGTGCCGATGATTCCCAATACGGACTAAAAAGCTGTACGGCGCTTTTTGGATTTTCAATATCGGCTGCACTTAGAGGACTAAATCTCTGCTAATAATCCAAAGATCTCCTCGCACTACGACGAAACACGTCATTCACTGCAAACCTCAAATGAATGCACGGGATTATAAAGCCAAGTCGATTTGGAGATACTGTCATTTCTCGCGGAAACTTCGTCCTCTTGATTCTTATCTTCGCGAAATAGGATCAGAGTCCCTGGTAAGTTTGCGACAAAATTTAGGATTGCGAATGGTTAAGAAATACCCAAGATATGTTTGATAGTCGTCTTCAGACGGGGAAAAGAGTGAAGCGAGGGGGCATGACGACCATCAAAATAGTTCTTTCATGACAGGTATTACCCATGAAGATAATTACGTCATTGAAGTTAAGACCGAAACGCCCCCTCCAATGTCATTTATGAACATCATCGACTTGGCTTAATGCATCCCACAACCTGATGCGCCGAAACTGTCCACAGATATTTGCTGGGATAAATTGCAACCGTCAAATTTCGACAACAGTTAGTATCGTTCAAACCTCATTGGGCATCCGCAACCTCAGATTGCCGAGTTCTAAATTAACTACGGTGACATAGTTATCCAGCGAACAATCGCCTAAGTGTTGCAACACAGGACATTTGCTTACTTCTTTTCCACGTCACAGTCTGTCCACCCATACCCTGAGACCACAATAAGGGCTAAACGCTCTTTAGACCTACGAAACAACACCGAATCAGTGTAACTTGTGTAATTGTACCAGGCTTTCCATCGAGCGTCCACCAAGATAATTACATAATACTGTGCGACGCATTTCAGCACAGGAAACACGGTGCACTCAACACACATAGACTATGATGCGTAGACATCGATGGTCTCAAGCAAGCGGTCGACTTCTATCTTCCGCGCAAAGTGACTATGTTCCACACCAACATGATAGCACTGATCGTAAGGCGGCATTCCAGTCTTCCATTCACTGATAGGTTGACACCATAAAGGCGTCATAAGTGATTAAGTTGAAGGGAGGCTGTATAAGCCTTTCCTATCCTAGTGCTCACTTCTTCAGTACTATTCCCAACAGGAGCGACACATCTACACAAACAGATGCACCCGATAATTAGTTTCAATGGTTGGGTTGCGTCGACTAGACTAGGTGCGGTATTCATCAGAGAGTAGAACTTCGAACATTGGTTATCCAAAGCGCAGTTCGAAACCAGGGGTTGCATTAAAACTGTCCAGCTGTAGCGCCCTTTCGGTGTCTAACTGCCTTGCAAGCCAAAAAAAGCACGAGGGTTGGGATACTGCCAGATTACCCAAGCCTAGACAGGGGAAGTAGAGAGGCAGAGGTCGGGTTCGAACCACGGACCTTGCGGTCAGTAAATTCGGGCTCTGACCACTGAGCCATCTCGACGAATCAGATTATTTATCGTATTTTGTGTTATGATGGGGCCCGAGCAGAACAGCACGATGTTATCCGCGTAATCTCAGTGAGTTCTCCGAGAAGGGGCTTGACTCCAGAAGCAGTAGATGGTTCAAACGATTCCTCCATAATCATTTCGATCATCAAATTGTGGGGAAAAGGCGAGTCGTCCTGCTAAAACCAACCCTGGGGAGCAACCTCTCTGTAGGTCTTTCCCATTCTCCCATTAACGCAAATAAGGCGCTTCGTAGTACCAGGTGGTGCCGAAGCGACATGTGAAGAACGAAATGGATGTGACTCTAACTTAGCGTCGATCACCTGAATCAATGGTTTTTTCGGGTTAGGGATATCTGACAGTGTGGTACTTGCAGAAGTGCATACCATATACCTGCATAAGCTGAAGCTTACCGCGACTACTATCATCAAAAAAAACCACTGAGTTACACAAGCGATATTTATGGTTTATGAAACTGCTACAAAGTTTCATTTCGTCTAACAGGTAGCCCGGTTACAGCTGTGGTTAAAAATCAGCTCACTGAACATGCATCTAGTACCTTAGAAAAACAATCAGCAGGCAATTTGAACTGCTCAGTAAAGCTGAGTCATCAGTCTGGACTGCAGGAGAAAAGGAGAAACGGCTTGAAACCATCACATTTTTTCCTACATGAAACGTCACCGAGGAAAAAGCAACTACGCATTGTCCGTCTTGATCGCATAAATCCACAACTACTAATGCCCAATGTTTGCTGCACGTTTGTATATTAACTGAACTGAAACTGGCCGTTGTGGTTCACTATATGCGGATACCGAGGTGCTTCTGTGTCATATAATGTATTGACTACGATATGTAGTACCAGGGTACCACAGAAATGACAGTTAGCGATATCAATTTATGACAAATTCCTCTAAATTGAGCAAGCAGAGTGGGAAAACAGCTTCATATGATATAAGAAACTCTGGTTAAGAGCCAGTTTCCTTTGAAACCGTCCCTTACGGAATTAAATTCAGTCTGTTAATGGTTAACATAAAGAAACCAGAAACTTTATCAGAAACTATTACGAAACCCTACTTGCTAGCTCAGGAATAAACAAATAATAATCATTCAGCTGTTACACCCTATCTGGATTTAGCTGTTATAACTCCCCGAAGAAAGCATGAGGGCTGAGGTACTAGCAGGTTGCCCAAACCTGGACGGGAGAAGTCTAGATGTCGAGGTTGGGTTCGAACTACGGATCTTCCGGTCAGTAAATTCACACCCTAACCTATATGCCATCTGGAGCCTTTTTTCCGTCAGAATTGATGAGATAGATAGAATTGTTCAAAATAATGAATCGAATTACCTCAGGCTAAAACTCAATGGTAAATTATAAAAGATGGCCGTTAAGAATGACACTGTGGTAGGGACTCACATGAGATAAGAGAATAACTAGCCAGGGTGCATACAAAGCGCAGAGTTGGTGTCTTTAGACACGCAAGCCGACCGCTTTGACGCTAGCTTGACTCTTCGATTTATCTGTTTCAGGCTTGGTGGATGGAATTTCACTAATAGACGTAAAATTCGACTTAAAACTGAGGTGGAGCTTTTCGGTCAGTGTATCTAAGGAGGAGATTTTCCTGACTCTGTCATACAGCAAGTCAGCTCACACGTCATCGTACGCAGCCTACGAGTCAGAAAAGGGTGCTGGTTTTTTTTGCCTAAAAACATATACCAGTGCGGTCTGGATATTGCATTTGGACATCACAGCAAAGGCACCCGAAATAGAGGCAGGATTAAAAAAGATGATACATATCCAGATGGCGCAATCCACACACTAGCTATCGAATTCCAACGCGATGTCTACGAGACATATAGCAACCGGTGAGCACGGGACCGATTGGAGAGACTATGGCTATTTGGTCGGGTTCTCTAAAGGGCTTTGTTGAATCAGAATTGGATGCTGAAAGCGAGGCGCAAAATTTGTTCTTCTGGTTCACCATCATCCGTAGGATCTGACGAATCTCAATGACCTCACACATATACTTCACAGTTCCAATATATGTCCGTTAGCAAAAGTCGTAACATTGGAATAGCGCTTGCTTATCCAAATATATCAGGTTTTTAGTTTAATCTATAAAGACTGGGGTAGACTCTAATATGCCACGCAACCACCTAACACGGGCGAACTGTAGTATCCAGCATCGGACAGGGACATTCCAACTGTGTGCATGCTGGAATAACCAGAGGTGCAGGATATGTCTTTTTAGGCTCTAAGTATTTACATCGCTGTACACCTATGGTACTATTGGCTTCGTTTCTTACCAATCGTTTTTCAATAGCTGCTGTGTTATTCCTCCCAGCCAGAATGGGGTAGAAGTTCTCAGTTGATTGCAACAAGTGCTCTACATGTTCAGTGACTTTCCAAACGCGAGTCTGTATATAAAAATCGCCCGCCCACATCGCCCGTGGCATTATTAATATATGATTTTGTTAAATAAAAGAAATACGTGCACCTAGACTAGACTTAAGTGTAGATCTGGCGTAATCAACTCAAAGGAGCTGAATGGGATGATGTCGCGGAAGTGCTAATGCCATCAGTCATTTAATGTGACAGTTGACTAACTGGTCCATGGTGAAAGACGCGATCTAGCTCTTCTTGAGAACCGGAAGGTTTCGCCACAATCCTGAAAGATTTTTAGCCGCACGTTGGAAGGGGAAAAATTGTACACCGTAAAAATTTTCAGTTCTGAGAATGGTCGAGTGAGTACAGCGGTTAAAATTGTTTTTTTTGTTCAGAGTATCAGAAAGTACCTTGTAGAGACAGTTCATCTAAGCAATACCAGTGGGCTTAACAAACAACCAGTGGCCTTCATTTAGGAGTTGTTTGAGTACATATATCAAAATTTATTACGTCAATCAGTTCGTAATAAGTCAACTATCGGACACACAGAAGAGATGATAAATGGATCACATTTGCTACAATCGCAGCAGGCAGATTTAACCTGGAGTAGATATCCAAGTTCCCTGAAAGTAAAACGGCCGTTATGAAAACGGCTCTCACAAACGGACAAACGGTTAACAATGTTTCCCGTGGTTGGAATAAGTGAAACAAGATACCCGGTGCGCCCAATATCAAAACGGTAGATAATTCATATGCCTTTGGGCATTGTATCACTAAGGAGGAAGATAAGAAAATTCAACGAATCAATGTTACATCTGGAAGATATTACGCGGGCAGTCGCTTAACAAAGAAAATACGAAGGCCGTAGCGGTGAGGAACAACTAAGAAGTTGGAATAATCTAGTAGACGGTGTGAGAGTCAGGTCAGGCGCTGGTTGGTGGAACACAAAGATTGCCCTATAGGTAAAGACGAGTAACTGTCAATCAGAGAGGAGGTCCATCGTAAAAACAAATGTGCCTGAGAGACTTACATCGTGTCCAGACAAAATAATATCGATGTGCTTCCATGCCTCATTCTGATTAGCCTGCTCTTTCACAAATTCCTTGAGGACATTGTGCAAGCGCTCCATAAATTCAGTGCCTGGAAGAGAATAGAAGTGTTAAGGATATTTCGGACGATCGCGCCACTTGATTGGCCAAAAGTCAATCAGTGGGACAACCATGTACAATGATGCTGAGATCTGTTTGTCGGTAAGCAACCATTACAAAAGAGCTATCGTGTAAAAACGAACAATATGCATTCCAAGTAATGTGCACATAAGCAGTTGATGTAATCTAGGACAGTAATTTCACGGATGTACGGGTGTCAAAAGGATATCGCTTTCGCAATTTCACCATTCTATTGTGTTGGAAATTACATTAACTTAATTGGAAGGAACAGGCCAAGTGATCACGCCTGGGATAGTGTGTCGGAGCTTGATGAAAGCATTCCAAGGAAATCTAAAAGATCACAAAAAGGATGTGTACAAGTGATTGGAGGTGTTAGTGGGTTTGTCACTAAACTGTTCCATCCATAAAAACCACGTGTGGCATGTTTTTGAGTCCTGTGAGACTGACGAATCAATATAACTCCCCGAGGTACATTAAATCACGTGTATAAATACTACAGCCCAACTAATCTGCACCAGTCATATTCGGCAACAATTCAGAAAACAACCAAACTACATACGCACCAGGAGAAATGACGCACGGGTCAAACAACTCAACACTCGTTGCGTGACCCCGTTTCTGCGCGTCCGCCTTGGTCTTGCGCGCTTCCTGTGCTGACCTTCAAAAAAGAAGGATAAAAAGCGGTTTTCATTAATCGTATGGGGGACTTGGAGAGGAACAATTAGATACAATGATGGAACTTTACTCTGTCTGTACCTGCTCTAAACAATGATGCGGGGAGTCTACCGATGAAAAACTCTCTGTTTAAATGGAAAGTATGAAAAAGAGGTAGATGAGGTTGCGTCTGACAGTCCATTGCGCTCAGACCGATCGAACGAAATACTCAGCCAAAAAAATTCAACCACACGAGACCTGGCTGACGACCAAAGGTTAAACTTTTGATCTGGCATAAACAATATGAATCACGTCCCCGGTGCGTTCGCGAATTGCGTTAGTGTGAGTGAACAAATCTGACGTGCTGATACATTACGAAAATTATGAAATCTGGCAGGCGAAGATGAGCTTGCTCGCAATTACTGTGAAGAACATATATGAATAAACCGTATGTTGTTTAAAGAAACACAGTACTGAATAATAAAACGAAGTGTATGGAATCACCGGGTACCTGAATACCAGTGAGTAACTATGCCCTCAAAGGGATGCCTTAGTCAGTGGCTTACACCTTTCAGTCAATTACGCTAGTGACACCACGAACAGAATAGAGTAATGAACCACTCACAGGGTCAAACACAAGTCTAGGACGGTCTGTCAGAAGCATAGTTGCCGCAGACAGGATGCCATTTTCAATACAGTCACGGGAACAGTCAACAGATTACCTATATTGATGGTCCCATCGATCTGCTAGTATTGCATTCCTATAAATCGAAGTTTAAAATGGGGGAATACTCAGTCTCCACCAAACATCATCTCAATAAATTAGAATGAACTAGTTGAAATCGGATTAGCTGACATTCGTTCTAAATCATGCTTCAGAAATGTTCACCAAGTTTATTTTAGTCGTCAAAAATGAATCAGAGCTAGTGCGGATATACTACTACCTGCACACAAAATACCTTAGATCTACGCCCTTTCCAATTTCGACCAAAAACTAATTTTTGGACTGTACAAGAGAGCGAAACATCAAGACCATGAGCAAACTGAAGCGCTACTAGTGAAGCCTGAACTTTTTTCCAATTCCGCAATTAAAAACATTCATTCTAGGGATTGTTTCCATTCTTGTTTACCACCAACCAAGGCTTAAATGTACAACCACTAAAAGTCCCCGTGAGAATGTCTTCAAAGCTGGTTTATAATTTTTGCAATTGCAATAAAAAATGGTCGTATTGCAACTGCTAACCGGAACGAGAATCAATATCAACAGCCAGATGGTGATCGTCATTACCGTCACCATCAATAACACTTCAGTGCTGAACACTGATGCCTGGCTGCAATGTAGCCATAATTTCGGTGATAATAGGATGAGATAAAGCGCAGAGTACAGATTTGGAGACCGACAACAGCGTTGTTAGTAGCAAACAGAAGCCATATCTTATGCCTCCAGCCAGATAAAGATAAGAGTACACGGACTCCGTCCTGTAAGCCAATAGAAAATAGGTACTTAGAGTGAAATACAAGAGCTAGGCAAGCAAAAGCACTTACTGAAAACGTCTTGCTCGCTGTTGTGTCATTTTAGCTCGAGGAGCAACACCATCGACAGCCAGAAACAGCGTTTTACGAGGCCTGATTAACTGGACAAGATACTGTAGAGGTAGGGTTTTTATGGCACAACTGCTGAGAGACCCACCTGAGTGTAATTCTTTATATTCTGGAAAATGACATCCTCTGGCATTGAATTTGGGTTACCATCTGGATGTGAGCAGGTATGTAGTATACCATTCATATCCAGAAAGAAGTGATCAATAGTCGGAACCTGTCATAAACATTTGAAATAACGTTAGGTGGGAAAAATAATGTGAACAAGTAAACGGTGCAACGTACAAGGTAGAATTGGTCGAATACTCACACAAGCAAAAAATAGCCCAAGAAACAATATAACTACATTTTCGCACAGTACTCGCTTCTGATTACCGTGAAAATTGGGCCCCGAAAAAATTCTTACCTCTACTGAATGATTGTGTTCGGCTTCTTCGCAGTCGATGTAGAATGGAAATCCGCGTCTATATTGAGAAGGTGCTAAGCAAAACACGACAATGCTTGCGCCGAAACTTTTGCTTATAAGTTGGGCCTTAACATAACGCGACCGTCAATGGACTTCCGTAACGCATTGACTCCATTAGAGGATGGAGTCCACAGAAGTCCTCATTCTGTTAGCTGACGGAGAGAGGGTAAGGAACAGTCCTCTAAACCGTCGAATTGTTGACGAGAGCCTGTTCTATATGATGATATGATGGGGGCTGCAACCCACCCACACCATGCGATATTTGACTGAAATGTTCCGCTTCGAAGTTCAGATCCACTGTCGAATTCTCTGTGCTCTCATTATCATCATTATCAGAGACAGCAACAAGTGTTGACACTGACGCTTCACTGTCATACAGTCACATTCAAAGCCTTGGCGTGAAAATAAGAGTAAAACAGTGAGTGAGAAAGGGGACCTAGTGTTGGCCTGTGTCACACGTCCTGACCTGCGGCTCACGACAATGCTTGCGCCGAAACTTTTGCTTATAAGTTGGGCCTTAACATAACGCGACCGTCAATGGACTTCCGTAACGCATTGACTCCATTAGAGGATGGAGTCCACAGAAGTCCTCATTCTGTTAGCTGACGGAGAGAGGGTAAGGAACAGTCCTCTAAACCGTCGAATTGTTGACGAGAGCCTGTTCTATATGATGATATGATGGGGGCTGCAACCCACCCACACCATGCGATATTTGACTGAAATGTTCCGCTTCGAAGTTCAGATCCACTGTCGAATTCTCTGTGCTCTCATTATCATCATTATCAGAGACAGCAACAAGTGTTGACACTGACGCTTCACTGTCATACAGTCACATTCAAAGCCTTGGCGTGAAAATAAGAGTAAAACAGTGAGTGAGAAAGGGGACCTAGTGTTGGCCTGTGTCACACGTCCTGAGGTGCCTGCGGCTCCAATCGCTCAATCAGACAGCAGGGACTCCACTGACATCGATCAACCGCAATTTCTTCCAATATCTCCAGCCAAGCGTAACATGGGTCACGTGGACCCCGTCCTGGAAGGCGTACAACACCAACAACATACAAACTCTTCGTAATCTCTTTCACACCCTTCTACTAAGTCATACCCTGTCCACCTCGCGGTTTACGCCATTTTGAAGGAGAAACGGAGAACAACATTCGTCTCGGTAGATGGTGTTTCGGCATACGCAACACAAGGTCGAGCCATTGCAGTGGATGTTTCCGGATCTTTTCCGCGACCGAAGTACCTGCTGCACAGCCAAATACCCGTTTTCAGACCACAACAGCACTAATCCGTTGATGTCATTCAGAACCGGTGACGCTTCTGAGGCACCGTTGGTTGAACAGGAACGGAAAGAGGGGATATCCTTGTGGGACACCACTCTTTGTAAAAGTTTTTGGAGGGCACACCATGCACTCTCGGCGCCCGGGGACGTGTGAATATGGGGATCGTACTAGGTTCACACACCTCTAAGGCATACCCTGTTGAGTAAGTGTAGTTCACAGCACTGACCGATTGACAGAACAGAATGAAATGGAATGGAAGTCAAGAAACACCAAGACTGTGGGTCATCTGTACACATGGCGTTGCTCTAACAACTGACAGAGTGTTTTGATGTGGTCAACACAGCCTCTACCCGATCGAAACCCCACTTGATTCTCACCAGCCAAGGTTTCGCGTGCCGCCATAAGGCGACTAAGAATGAATGACGACGAAAGCCTTGTCACAACATAACAGTGGTATGTGCTAATTCCAAACGGCCACATAAGCCGCAAGATTGTGTCCATTTAGTCGAGAGATACCGCGGGTATGTTTGAATAAAGACATAACAAATGATTGCCACTGTTGTCTGGAATTCATTATCGCTCCCAAATAAGTTCAAATAATCTAGTCAAGACAGAACAAAGATTCATCAAGTAGTGCTTGTGAAAGCTCATTTAGTCCGGAAGTCTTACGGCGCTTCGTGAAGATAGAACCTAAGCTCATAAAACGACTCAAATCGAGAGGATCCAAAAACATAGGCATACAAGTTGACGGTTGTTGAAAATATTCCATTTGGCGACTGAGGCAATAGCTTTAATGCATATCATATCCCACGTTAGCAGCAATTAGCCACACCAGGTGTCCTTGGATCTATTTTGCGGATTAGCGAGACAGCTGTAGCACGTTCCGCACCGCGCGAACATTCTATAATTATCGAACTTTTCGACTACAAACTTCCCCTAATTACCTATACGCTTCGAGCGTCAAACAACTGTTTTTACCTCTTCACATTCTCTAGTGTCTTCTGAAGAACCCTCTTTCAAAGCACGACATAGTGGATTTCTGTTTACCTTGTTCGTGATCCAGAATGATTTCCAATTGCTTAACCTGAATTTTGCTTCGTAGTGAAAATCTGGCCCAGTGAAAATCTACATCGGACTGCGGGATGATATGGGTCCAGAATAGTCGACGTATTGTACCTCGACACCGGTATCCGAATATCTATGTGGTCGGTTCGGCCCTACGCTTGTTCGACCACAGGGACGCAAGGAAGTACAATGTACACTGCAGATAACCCAATATCAATAAGAGACGACTGTTGGCCAGTACAAGGTTGTACAGAACGCCCGCCTGTATCACCAAACCTCGGGTCTAGACTAGACATTTCATGAAGTCATACATCAGATGAACTGAGACGTCCTGCTTAAGCACCTGAACTTCCGACGACTAGAACTGTATCTGAACCCTTTATAGTGGATAACAGAGTGGTCAATTCGCAGCAAGAGATATTCTTACTAAACCAGAGATACAGCTGGTTTTACACAAGCAGAAACTATAGACAAACAGCAGTTGGTACTGTGAGTGATGCGAGTCCTTACAGAAATGTACCGGCGAACGGCACAGAGATGACTGTTTACCGAGATCTGACCAGACCAGCTCAAAATTCAACACCAAATTATATGAAGCTCAAATTCTTAGCGTCAGACAGATGTTGTGCAAGCTTAATTACTGAACCTGGAGCCTGTATATGAATTTCGGAAACACAGCAGACATCCATTGATAAAGTATTAACTATGCGGACTTAGGCAAATTGCTAGTTAGTTTTTTTTTCAAGAGTTCACACATTAAAGGTTACGAAAGACAAAAAGGCGAAGTTTGAATAGCAGTGCATATCAGTCGACAAAGGGTTCAGAGTGCATGCGACAGCAGCTTCCCGAAGGGTACGAACAGCAAACCTTGCAACAGAAAAGAGAAAACGAGGTCTGACTATAGAAAGTGAAGCGGCGGATGTGACAAGTGATGTTCCACAGGTACTTTCCGTAGCGTTTGACGGATAGTCCTAGAGCTGGGTTGTGCAGAAGAGTGATCATTAACTGATCATCATTATTATCATTAACTGAGGCGAGAGAGCATTCGAGAGAAACTAAGGGAGAGAATTGGCATCGGCATTCATATGTTTTCACTTATCCGCCATGTTTAACGCAGCGGAGGGGGCGATTCGACTGATGTTGCATGAAGGTACATTAGTTTGCGTAAATCATATAGGCATGTGGGTTGAGCTAATTTCAAAGAGCCGAAATATAGATAGAGATGATTAGGATACTCAAAGCCAGACCACAAGCTAGCAGTATTTGGTGTGGTCTCACTTTTGAAGGGACAAGACCCCATACACGTTCCAACCTCCAACCCACAGGGTCAGTGTTTGTTTAAACTCTACCCAGCGGCCAACTTGATGGTAGGAATCTTGAGTATTCCGTACGCACCTCACCGGTATAGCTCAATGCTTTGCTGAGGGAATCAAACCGTCGCACCACATTAAGGTTAAGTTGCCTCACGACGGAAACAAAATCATACCACGGTTGCTACTCAACTGACACTTAATATACTTACCTACCTCACCACCTCATCTGCTAAACAATATATCCGCAGGTCCCACCACATGGCCTATAGGCATCTTTACTCCTAATAAGCAGCAGTTGCAACATGTGTACGCCAGTCTGCATTTCTAGCCAGATATCTCGAATCAAATCTTTACAACCCAGACCTACTCAGTCTTGTCACCTTCGTTTTTCAACAAATGAGGCGATCAAACGATATGCTGTTTACGCTTGTGAGCTGCGTTTAGGCGGCTTTGATCTGATGAGGTCTGAAAAAATTCGGAAGGCAAATAAGGAAAACAAGTAGACTGACTCCCCCTGTTCGGTGTTCAACCAATCACCTCTCTTCTCGCCTTCTCTTCTCACGCGCAACCCACACGTAATGCCGAAATACTTCGCTGAACTTCCCAACTGCTAAACCCGTTATGGGAAACCAAAAGTGAGAGAAAGAACAGTAGGAATAAGCTCCGATAGGAGAAAATAAGGTCTCGGTGTAGCTGGTATCGCAAAGGGAAGCATGCGGTTACATGCTTGCCTCACACGCTCTTATGCGAAACGTGAGACTTCCGAAGGCCAAGTGCCTCTGTTCTGACGCCATTCTGTGCTGCGGAGGCCATTCGCGGGAGTAAAGCACGCACCTTTCACTTTGGTCTGAACTGGTCGGCGGTGTCAACTTGGTGGGCATGTCCTAACATGACTCATCGCGTGTTGATGGACTAAGGAATGATTTCAGATACGCACGAACTCCGTCTCCAATTAGTCCTGTTAACTCATCAAGAAACCGGAAGCATCCATCAAAAAATAAGTGTTAGAGTCCTAGACAGCCTTTCGAACGCTCTTGCGATTAGTAAAAAACGAGAAGACGGATTGGTGGCATAGCGTATTGCCTATCAG